TAGCTAAGAAACATATACGCTGTTATTATTGTTACCAGTTGCACTGGTCAAAACTCCATTCACCTGTCCACCTCAACCACTGAGTATGTTGTAAAGCAACATCTCCATGGCAAGTTCAGTGAATTAAGGGGATAAAAAAATGTCTCCCCATCCACCAGGACCTCAACAATGCCCTTCACCATCACCTAAAGTCATGCAAGCCCTTCTAGATCCACAAGCTTAACCTCAACGATGTGACTTCAACCCTGATGAAGCTTGAAAAACTGAATGGAGTTCACAGGGGGACGTCTACATGTTCATTAATGTGCCTTAGATACTGCACAGTTAGTTTAGTACTTTTTTAATAAAATAGTAAATAAATGTGCAGTACCTAGAGTTCCTGTGCAATAGTGCGGGCGCACAGTTATTTAGTGACGCGTATTGTGCATTAGCCTAATAACACTGCGCAGTAGGTTATTAGCACAGTTTTTGCCATGACACGTTATTGCACAGTGTTATTAGGCTAATGCAGTGAGCGTCACATATAGATACACCCAGGAAATCCCAAACAAACATCTTGTGATAGATCCAAGGCAGAAGGTCCCTGGGTTTGATCTCTTCCAATGCTCATGAGCAACTCTAAACTGTAACTGCACAAACCATGAGAGATGCAGATACTTGATACACAAATGTAAAATTAAAAAACTTCCAAGTGTGCAACTGTGGCCACCCAGAACAGATCATGGACCATACAACTACTCAATGCCCAATCCACAAATATGAAAGAGGTACCACGATGATGCCCTCTGCTGCTCCTGACACAATTGTCTGGTTCAACCACCTAAATGTAAAATTATAGTTGCTGCTCTGTATCTACATCAGCCATATGAAAGAAGTATGCCTTGTCTTTTAGACTGGAACAGGGGTGACCATGTATTATAGGTCTGTAAAGCACCTAGTATAATGGCAGCCCCAACCTGGTTGGTATCTAGGCAATATAAATATTAAATAATAATGAAGATTTGGGGATGCAGAACCAAGCTGTAAAAGAGAATGTAAGGGGAAAGGGACACCTTCACAAGAAGTGGTAAAAACACAATCAGGTGGATATCATCAGTTCTCATTTATTTGGAACGTATATCTTTTGAATGAAATGCTTCCAAGAGCCTCTAGGGTCTGAAGCACTGTTATGAAATAAAAACCAGTGGAGATATACAATGCTGTATATCCACGAGGCTGAATTTTCTTTCCAGATGACAGCTAGTTATGAGAGCTGATCAGAATAGTGAATTGTTTTATCCATGTGAATAGAAAGGATCAGGATCAATATTTTTCCATAAAAATCAAACAAAAGCTAAAATATTGTGTCGCAATTTAAGATTTTTGACAAAACCTGTTGGGTTTTTTTCTGATAATAGATTTCAAAATATATATCCAATGTGTTGAGAAGCCATTTTTCACTCAAAACATCAATGTGCTCAAGAAAAAGTTCCCATCAGTTCTATTAATTAACATGTCCACTTGAGATGTTAAAAACCAGTGGCATAGGAAGTTGTCGATTTTGCCCAAGGTCAGAATAAAACTTAAGTCCCCGATATTAGAGCCCTCCACTCTAAGCACTAGATACTATTACAGTAAGTGAATCATTTCCTCCTCCCCACAATCTGGCTCAGGAAGAACATCATTTTCATTTGAAGCTGCATATGGGTTCATGTTAGTAGAATATAATTATTCAAGGGCATTGGAGTAACTTCTACTCCCTTGTGAAAAGCATCAAGGAATCATTCATGAGGAATGGATAGACCTTCCATATTTCATTTTCTCCAGAAGTATAATGCTGGGGCATTGGTTTAGTACTGGCTCAAAGAAGAGCATACTAGATGCTACATTCCCCACAAACAGCTCATGTATGGCTCCTTTCTATCAAGCCACCCTGTTCCTCTGCTACCTCTTCTTTGTGCTATCTGAGCGCCATGCCATGCCTAAGAGCTCACACACAAATTGAGTTTTGCATCATATATTCTACCCTAAAGTTAACACATTTTGAAGGACCTGGGATCTCAATTGTGTCTAGGTTGGGGAAGTAGGTTTTACTTTTCTGTCTGAAAGTGGTGGGATTGACGCCAATAGGAGACAGTTGCCTAAATATCACTGTGGATGTGGTCTCCAGAACTGAGTTTCAAAGCAATGGGCCAGATAACAAGAAAAGACTCACAAACACCTACCCACCAAGGGAGACATGTCTCTTCAAAAGGCTTATTTTACAGCTGCGGTGGGAATTCAGAATTGTGTAGGTGAAGCAAGTTCTTTGGGACGCCAGGGCAAGTCCCATAATTGTGTCTGAAGATGAGGGCTGAAAATCTGACCTTGACTCTATGATCCATGAGGAGTCCGATGACCAGACCAAGGGTTGCTGTACCGTGCTGTGCCTGGGTAGTTATTGTTGCTGACTCCTACTTACCCATCCAAGTGCTGACCTAACTTAAACTTTTTTTATTAATTTTTGTTAATTATGTTAGCAGCTGCTTACACCCAAGAGTAGCTTGGCTGATGCAACCATGAAATGTTGGCTCCAATATTAATAGAAAATGTATTATGTGAATCTGATAGTTCATGAAATTAACATGGAAAATGAATTAGGCTGAAGCGAGTTTCCAAGTAATAGGCATGACCAATCAGCAGCAACCCACACATTGGGAGCTCTTTAAAGCAAAATGGTGAATATATCAGAGAGTATTCTCCAGAGCTTTTTAATCTAAATTAATTCAAGATCATAGACTCACAGAAACATAAAAATTAGGGTTGGAAGGGACTTCAGGAGGTCACATCTAGTCCAACCCTCTGCTCAAAATAGGGTCATTCCCCAACTACATCATCCAGCAAGGTCTTTATCTAAACAGGTCTTTAAAATCTCCAAGGATGGACTTCCCACAACCTCTCTTGGTAACCTGTTCCAGTGCTTTACTACCTTCCTCATGAAAGACTTTTTCCTAATATCTAACCTAAACTTCCCTTGCTGCAACTTGAGCCCATTGCTCCTTGTTCTGTTATCTCTCACTACTGAGAACAGTCCAGCTCCATCCTCTTTGCACCCCCCTTCAGGTAGATGAAGGCTGCTATTAAATCCCCCTCAGTCTTCTCTTCTCTGGACTAAATAAGCCCAGTTCCCTCAGCCTGTCTTCTTAAGTCATGTCCTTCAGCCCTCTCACCATTTCTGTTACCCTCCACTGGACTCTCTCCAATTTGTCCACATCCTTTCTGTAGTAGAAGGCCCAAAACTGGACATAGGACTCCAGATGTGGCCTCACCAGTGCAAAACAGAGGGGAAGAATCACTTCCCTCAATATACTGGCAACACTCCTACCAATGCAGGCCAGCATGCCATGAGCCTTCTTCACAACGAGGGCACACTGTTGGCTCCTATTCAGTTTATTGTCCACTATAAACCCCAGGTCCTTTTTGGCCAAGCTGCTGCTTAGCCAGTCAGTTCCCAGCCTGTACCAGTGAATGGAAGTGTTCTGTCCTAAGTGCAGAACCTTGCACTTGTCCTTATTGAACCTCATTTCTTTTGGTCCAACCTCCAATTTGACAAGGTCTCTCTGAATCCTAGCCCTACTCTCCAATGAATCTACAACTCCCCCCAGCTTGGTGCTATCTGCAAACTTGCTGAGGGTGCAATCCATCCCATCTTCCAGATTGTTGATGAAGATATTGAACAAAACCAACCTCAGGACTGAGACCTGGGGCCCTTTATATTGAGCCATTTACTACTACACTTTGAGCCCAATGATCCAGCCAGCTTTCTATCCACCTTACAGTCTATTCACCCAACCCATAGTTCCCTTAGGTTGCTTGCAAGAATTTTGCGGAGGGTCATATGAAACCCATGCTAAAGTCAAGGCATATCATGTCTTCTGCTCTTCCCACATCCACAGAGCCAGTCATCTCATCACAGAAGGCAATCAGGTTGGCCAGGCATGACTTGCCCTTGGTGAATCCATGCTGACTGTTCCTAATCACCACTTTCTCCAAGTGTTTAGATATGGATTCCTTGAGGACTTTCTCCATGATCTTGCCAGGGACTGAGCTGAGGCCGACTGATTTGTAGTCCCCTGGATCCTCCTTCTTCTGCTTCTTAAAGATGGGCATTATATTTGCCCCTTTCCAACCATCTGGGACCTCTCCTGATCACCATGAGTTTTCAAAGATGAAGGCCAGTGACTCTGCAATCACATTGATCAACTTCCTTGACACATGCAGATGCATCACATCTGGCCCCAAGTCTTTTACACGTCCAGCTTTTCTAAATAGTCCTTAACGTCTTCTTTCACCACTGTTGGCTACTCATCTTCTCCCCAGACTTTGCTGCCAGGTGCAATAGTCTGGGAGCTGACCTTGCCTGTGATGACTGAGGTAAAAAAAGGGCATTGGATACTTCAGCCTTTTCTGCATTATCTATCACTAGGTTTCCTCTACCAAGATCTGGAGTTTCCTTTTTTCTTCCTACGTTGCCTGTGTTGCCCTCCTAATTCTACAGAAGTACCTGCAGTTTAGCAGTCAGGAGGTCTGAGTTCAAGGTCTGACTTTTCATAAGTCACTTGAGCCAAAAGTGTCCAACCACATTGGGTAGCTCAATTTCAAGGTCCACCTTGTAAGGCACAGACCCTAATTCTCATTTACAATAAGACCCCTTTATAGCACTCTGGCTGGGTAGAGAGCCTAATGTAGGCCAAATTAGAATAGTACATTAAAGCCTCTTTACATTGCTAAAGCTTTGTGAATGGGTTTAATATAAATAAGAATCAGATATTAAGATCCAGTTTTAGCCTTGGCCAAGCACAGGTTTTACAGATATGGAAACCAAGTTAATAAGGATAAAGGATCTGTCCAAGAAAGGCAGTGGCAGCCTGAGATTAAATTCAGAATCGCTGAGGCCTAATTCTCAGACCTACTACTCCTCTCTGCATAAATCACAAAAGCCCGATCACCTTTTTGTACAAAATTAGCTCTTTGGTACTTACAGTCCAATAGACATACGGTGAAGAATCACATCCCTTCCACAAACACTGCTCGCTGCAGCTTGACTGAAATTGGCACTGACCACGCAGGAAGTTGCAAGTATGTTCAAAGAAGCAAGGAGATGACTTCCTTTCTGCTCTGTGATGGAGCCATCCAGATCTTCGAGGATGGCCGAATGAGGAAATGGGAACAATACCTGGTTGGGTGAATTTAGGAATTTCAGCCATTCAGCTCTCACTGTAAAGCCACCTGGGGAAAAGAAGCAAGAGATCAGAAATTCAGATTTGCATTTCTGTGACAAGATGCAGAGGCATTACCTGCTTTCCCAGTGAACAAGGGTTAACCTCAATTCAACTTCCTCTTAACAAATGGCTGCTTGGGTTGGAAAGAAAGGAACTTATAAGCAGATGGTCACATGCTATTAGCTCTATCCCTTGATTGGAAGATGACTCATTTAATGAAACAATGATACTTAATCAATCACAAGGAAAGGGAAAGGATGATCATGATATCTGACATCCCGGATCACATCCAAGGTCCATCTAAATCTAGCATCCTGTCTCTGACAAGTCTTCTGGTTAGAGCGCTGGATTCAGATTCAACAAATCTGGGCTTAATCGCTGGCTCTGGCAGGCTCCTTGTGTGATGTTAGGCACATTGCCATATCAGTCCATGCCAATATTCCAGATCCATACCATAGAAGTCATAATAAATCTTTTTTGCCCTGTTTATAAAGGAAACTCTATAGTGAAGACAATTTTATTTTTCATGTACAGCTCCTAACTGGTCCTGATTTTAGGTGGTATCCTCAGTAAGTAATGCAACACAAACGGTAACAAATTTATCTTTCAATGGGTGCATCTACACGTGCAATTAATTTAAAGCAATAAACTCTGGAGCAACTTGAGCTGGAGTAAACTACTCCTGGGTGTGGTCTACACATGTCCCCAGGACAACAGTACTTTGAGCTGGGGAAGAGCAGGCCCTAGATAGCAGGAGACACAGGAGGTCAGCCCCAGGCTCCAGGAGGTGGCATCAGGTAGCAGAGGGGCTGGCTGGGGCACAAGCATGCTAAAAGTGCAGAACCATATGGCTAGGTGGTAGGCTGGAACCTGGCCCCCTGCTGGCTGGGCTGACCGGGCACAATTTATATATGTGGTCAGCATCTATATGTGTGTTTAATTGCAGTTATTCGCCCTGTAATGAACTACGTATTGCATTTCATCTGTATCCTACACATCTCAAACTGTCCTGTACCAGGGGCTTTTTCACATTCTGACCTAGATGTGCCTGTTACCAGCCTTATCATCCTGGTACTGAATTATCCTTTGTTTGGCAAGTGGTTTTGGCTGGAATAGTTTTCAAAGAGGTTTTGGGTAATTCTTCAAGACTCAAAGAAATCTTACACACAGAATTATCCCAAGACAGTTCACCCAAGACCAGAGTCTATTCCACCTAGTAAGTGAATTAGTGGATTTAGGAGCCTAAGTGTGATTCCATTCCACCCTATTCAAGTCATGGAAAAACAATAAGTGCAAAAGATGGGTGGATCCTACTCCTCCTCACTGCCTTTTTGTGACTCACTCTAAAGGATAAGACAACGGTTTCTTACATAAATAGGTACATGAATGGATTTTCAGGACTTAAACCAAGTGATACAGACTCACACTTTGGCACATAAGTCAATTTAGATGCTAAACAGATGAAACAGAGTCTGGCTCCTAGGGCTCAGGGTGGCCTAAGTTACATGCTGACTAGTGGATGTGTTGTAGCAGCTATGCCACTACATTTGATACATTATCCCCACCAAAATGAAGAAGTACTAACACATACATGAACTTTTTCCTATCCTTTAAATCCCAAAAGAGCTTCTGAAGACCTGTCCAGAATGTGAAGAGGTAAGGAAATCAAAACAGGGTAAAATGAATTCACCATCATCTCATACCCATGCACTGTTACTGGACATCAGGTACCCAGCCTGGCTCTTTCATTGGGAATATCTAATACAGAACTGGTGAGTCAGGAAAAGGACTTTAAAGGGATGCTTATGCTTCAGTCCAACAGTGACACTGGAGCACTGAGGAGGACTTTTAAACATCCCTTAGGGAGCAGATGCATGGGTAAAGGGTTGGGAATTAAAACGCTCTTACATAAAATGATGACCTGCAGCAAATCCAGACTCAGATTTCTTGGCTTTTCAGAGCAGCATAAGATGCAATGTTTCCATGTTAGGTATCTAGACAGGGCCTCCCCACCCCCTTAACCATCATATCCATGCAGCTCCCAATCTTTAATGCATGGTCTCTTTTGTGAGATAGGGAAGTGCAATTATTCAATTTTATAGGGAGGGATCTGAAACAGGGACAAGTAACCAAATTTGTAAAGGTACTTAGATGCCTAAAACCCACTGAAACCAATGGGAGGCACCCAAATTTTTTACAAATCTGGCTGTTGGTAGCCTGCCCAAAAATCAAATAGGAAATCTGTGAAATCTGTGATGTGGGGACCTGAAGACAGAGGGCAAAAGGTGAGCCAGCTTCCCTAAGAGGGGACCATCCTTCCATCAGGACCCAGAGTTCAGTTGCTAGTGATGCATATCCACATTCATCATTCACAAGCCCAACTCTGTAATGTAGGGATGTCAAGGACTTTGCAAATCTACATCCATTTAACTTACCTTGACCTCGGGAACAGCCTGAGCAGGTGCTAATGGCAGTGCACATGCTACTATCAAAGTTCATGAAAGTTGTATTGGAAACCAACATCTCACGCCTTTTGGGAGTTTTCAGTCCTGCTGACATACAGCTACCATCCTGCTATGAGAAAACAGTGAAATACATGAGCCCCCTCATCTCTGGAGTAAATCCAGGATCCAAATCCTCTCCTGATGCATATTAATGTAGGTTTGTTGAAGGCCATAGATCTACTGGCATGTATAAACTCTGAGACAATATTCCCCCCAAATCAGACATGCACGCAAGCCATGGAAAATACAAGTATCAATAAAAATGGAGATGAAAGCAAAGGTAAGGGGGGGATAGGCAAAGAGGCCAAAAAGGGCCAGTAAGAAAAAATAGACATATAAAATAATAGTAGCTGTCCACAATATAATACAAAGGCACATGGGAGAGGCTAGGCCTCCTGCTAATCCAGGTCAGGAAGCTCCACCACAAATAATGCTGTACCTCAATACTATGGCTGGGAACAAACAGGTACAGAAAGAGTGCAGGGAAATGGAGGAGAAGATGGCAGGAACTCGGTTGAGACTGTTGCTTTTAGTCCCATCTACCGCCCCATAACATTTCCCATTACAATCATCCTAGGGGTGGGAGAAGGCACATCTTTCCAAGCCACTACTGAATCAGTGCCTCCCCGTGTTAGCAATGGCTCATTCAGAACAGCCCAAACAGTTCTCACTCTTAAGGGGTTTTTTTCTCTCCATGTGCTTATGTCTTTATTCATTTCCACCCCAGCTGCTCACCTGATTCAATCCTTTGGCCCCAATATTTTCCCCAATCAAATATTTTTAGGGGAAAAAAAAAGATGAATATCCTTTCTTCCTTGCCAAGCATGTGTCCCTTACCTTAGACATTCTGCCTTTAATACAGGTAAATGCATTCCCTTATGTGCCAGTGCATATGCATTCAGGTCACCCACTGAAAGAACTAAAGTCCCTATAAAGCTGCCTGCAATGAACATTAGTCTTCCTCTTACCTACCACAGATCGGTCCTGGTACCGTACTGTGAAGGGGCCAAGGGCTCAGTTTGTAATTCTCCCACTATTTCCAAAAATAAAAATCAGCTTTTAAGGCACCTTTTAAAAAATTAAAGGGCTGGCAGAGTAGAACACCCAGTGTTCATGGTAAATTAATGTCATAAAGTTTTAATTGATGTTAAAGAGACATCGTTATTAAAGGGAGAATTACATAAATTAAGATGTAAATTATGACAAGGAGACTCTTATCATGAGATAATCAAAGATAATCACCCCCTTGGGGGGCTTTGAGAAACAACACACATCTGAGCGCCTCTAAACCTCTTAGCAAGTGCGGCACTGGAGCTCTTCCATAGATCCTGTGACAACAACAACAAAGAGACTCAACACCCTTCGTATCTGAGAGAAACTCACTGTACGGCTTGAACACTGGAAGATGAAACCTGTAAGGCCATTTTTATTCAAACTTGGCCCTCCCTATAGATCAACCCACTACATTAAATAGTGTCCTCCCATGCTTATAAATGAGTCTCTTCCAAGAATACCCACCAGCCAATCAGACTGGCAATATATTCCAAGCCAATTTTAAAACTGGAGCAAAGAAAATACAACAAGTCAGGTGCAGTCAGCCATTGCTAAGCTTCTATGATTGTTAGTTGTTATTAGTGCTAGGCCCTACACCAACACCTAGTAGAAGATTTGATTTGCTAGCATAAATCATTGTTGCACGTGGCATTTTTCTATCACCAAAAATGACTTAATTCTCACACCGTGCTATAAAAATGGGCAGTATCATCATGTTTTCCAGATGGAGAAACTAGGGGGTAAATAGTGCCCAAGCTATATTAGCACAATCAATGGCAAAATCAGGACTGAAACCAACCTCCTGGTTCACAGACCTGTGCTCTGCTTAACTCATGATATTAAACTGCAAAAGGTTTAGACTAGTGGTTATTAGAAGTGGTTGGAAAAGGTATGTACATAAAACAGCTTTCCACAAAAGGGTGTAGTTTCATCAAAGTCTAGCACACTGGTGGGCAAAATGTGGCCCGTGGACCGGATGTGGCCTTCCAAGTTGTTCTATCTGGCACACAGGGCTCCTAAAAAATTTAGAAAATTAATATTTATCTGCCCCTGGCTGCCTGTCATGCAGCCCTCAATGGCTTGCAAAAACTCAGTAAGCGGCCCTCCGCCCAAAATAATTGCCCACCCCTGATCTAGCATGTCAAACCTCATCATTTTTTTGACGGTGGGGGAAAAAGTAAAAGCCGTTTTTTTTTTATGCTGTCAACATTGTTTGTTTTAATATAATGGCTGTTAGAGTGATGCTGTAGCTACTCGGTTCCAGGAATTAAGCAAAAACCAAGAATTTTGTAAGGTGATATCTTTTATTGGACTTATTGTATAGTTGGGCTAGAGTTAGACAAGCTTTCAAAGGATGACCTGATGAAGAATGCCTTGCATTCAGAAGCTTGTCTAACTCTATCCCAACGATGCAGTTGGTCCAATACGAGATATCACCCCCAAAAATCATTGCCCCTTGCATTTGGTTCAATAGTAATTTGTTTTTGCCTTTGTTAAAATATATTAATGTTATACTGTACATATATTATAATTTTATATATATTATAAAATTATATATAGATGGGTAATATATTATCAGTATTTCTCAACCTGTGGGTCGCGACTCAAAAGTGGCTTGCAAGGATATATGAAAGGGTTGTGAACAAACTTTAAAAATGGACTCTCCTTTAAAGAAGAACAATGTTGGAAACTGTGGCTTTTCCCAAGCAGGCTGGTAGAGTACCAGCCTGCACGGGGCTGCTTGGGGCCCTCTATGCCCCCTACACACTCACCCCGTGCCCCGCACACTGGGGGCTGGAGCCTGGGGGCAGCGGGTCGGGAGTGAGGGGCAATGGGTCAGGACTGGCCATTGATGTTTACATCTGGGTCCTGGTACAAAAAAAGACTGAGAACCACTGATATATTATAATATCCAACACTCCTATGACTCCAAATCAAACCTTTCAGAATGCTTGTTTTGCAGGACATTTCACATTTTCAAATTTCATTCTGAAGTCCAGCAGTTTGGGTTTTTTTCTTTCATAATCGTGCGATTTCCTGCAAGCCAAAAATTCTGACTCCTAGACAGCTTTGGTAGTTCTGCCCTAGACATCACTTGACTTTTTCTTCTCTTGTGGAGGTCCTGAGGGGAGCCTGGGGCACAGAGTCCCACCCAGACTCCATGCCCCGCGTTTCAGCCGTGGGTCCTGTCTCACTTGCCTTTCTTCTGAATTCCTGCCCCCTTCCCTGTGAACCAAACGGCACAGCTCGACAGGCTGCGTCCAACCCATAGGCCATATTGGTCTATACAATAAACTTGCATGGATTGCAGTTTCTCATCTATCTAGTTTTCCAGCTGTTTCGATGACATCTAGTTTAAAATGTCATTGTTGTAGGGTGCTCTCTTCCCATTCCAACACAAGGAAGATAAAGTGATAATGTCTCCAGCTTGGATGAGTGACAATGATATTGCCCCAGGTATGGTGTGAGAGGATACAGCAGCACTTAAGGTACCATCTTTCAGAGGAGAGGGAGAAAGCGAAAGCCCAGAGGCGAAAGCATCTAAAGAAGGGGTAGGTATTTAAATATCTCCATAAAGCTACACTTAAATCCTTACTACTCATGATATAGAGATTTCTTAAACTTTGGAACTTAACTGAACCTAGGCCTGAGACACAAAGGTAAAGCTTTGCTGAAGAACCGGCTGGTTTTTGGTTTGGGTTGTTTTTTTACTCACTCCTAATGGCTCTCAGACTGATTTGCTGGAGGAAAAAAAACCCAAGACAGAATAAAAACAGCCACAAACCTTGTGCCCGAGGTGGCCGAGCAATAAGCTGTTAGTTACAGAGGTATTTCCAAGGCTTTCTACTATATCAATTCCAAACTCCTTGCAAGAATGTATCTGGAAATTTTGAAGTTCAAGGTTGCTGCTTCTAAAAATCTGTTTCAAATAAAAAAAGAGAGAGAAAAAAAAATCCTATGCTTTAATATTTTCCTTTCAACAATATATAGCAGAGGGAAAGAATTAAGGCATTAATAGGAGTTGTCTCAATAATAGATTAAAAATCTCGCCCTTAAATTTTATTCTGCTTACAAGGGTTAAAAAACATGCTTCTGTGTTGACACACACACAAAAAGATATTGGGGAAATGAGAGTTAATCATCAGTAAAGCACATGGCTAAAATGACAGAGCAATGGATAAAAAGAGAAAAAATAGGGTTTATCATCATAGAGCAAACATTTCCAGGGGTAGCAACCTAAAATGGCAGGAGTTGAACCACAATCTCTTCTAACCCTACAATTCTACACCTTCTGACCTTTCATTTGTTTTAATAGTTGGCAACATTAATGAACTGGGTGCAGACAGTCTGTGCATTTGCACCAGACACTGATGCATCCTGAAAAAAATCTCAAGATGCCATTAAAACAAACACATACCTGAGCCCCACCTTGATTCCTCCAGGCCATGAAGCTCTGGAACAGAACTGGGCCTAGGCTATTTGCACGTTGGGGCTGATATTCGGGATATACCAGGAGACCATATCTGGAAGACAAGTGAAGACGGAGAGTGCTCAACTTTCTTTCTGGCTACTTCTGTGCCGGCTTTTCTTGGGTAATTGCAGAGATCTATGGCAGATTTGCAGAGATCCATCCTAGCATATATCAATAATAAAGAGATATTTGCATGCATCTAGCAGTCTCTAAAGCCTACACCACTTCTTTTGCATTTCTCTCCAGAGTCCTGGACTCCAATTAAGCAAAGTACATAATTTAAATCATGTGAATAATCCCATTCTTACTCAGCAAAACACTATCTGTTGGTCCTGGGTATGACCAGAAACTGCATCCAACTAGAGGGCCTAGTTGCAACATGGTGGGACTACTTGTGGTGGAGTAGGTCCTATAAAATAACACAGTGTAGCAACCTACAAAGTAAAGAGAGTATAGGGTGCTTCAAAACCCTAGCCCCCACTGTCTTGTGGGTGCTCCTTGGTTCGAGAAAGGCTTAGGGACATCACCTTGACAGAAACACACCCTCTCTGAGGCTTTAGGCAGTCAGCAACAGTTCTTATCTGCTGCCCTCTGCCAGAAGCTATAACCATTGAGACACCGAACATCTGGACTCAGCCTGGCCTTTGGGCAGCCTCCATATTCTTGCCTAGAATTAAGTGTCAAAGGTCTTGGTGTAATTGTCTTACACCAAATGGATTCATCAGCACCTGGCTAGACCTCTTACGTGTGCATCATGATACAGTGGATTGACGGTTGCCTACATGTGCGCTTATATTTGTGCGTGTGCTCTTTGGTTTTTTTAAATGTTTTACAGACAAAATGCGATCCATCACATGTACGCGGTTAAACAGGTGATCAAAAGCTTAGTTAACACGCGCCCTTACATCTGCACTGGAATCACTTCATCTGCTAATACAAGGAAGCCACCTCTGGGGTAGTATGCAGCAGCTGTTAATAAGACAGCTGGCAAATACACTGCAGTTGAGACCCCGCAGTAAAAGAAGAAGCATCTCATTGAAGCTAAAATGGAATCTATTGATAAATAATCCTTAAGAAATAGGCAAAACTAAATCACTGCTAAATGACGACCCTCAGGTAGTGCAATCTTATTCAAAATAACTGGATGAGTACAAAAGTTTAAATGTATATCTAAAGGGATAGAACTTTTTTCTAGTTTTCTGTTGCAATTATAGCCCATTTTCCTTGTATGGGAAAAAAAATGTCCTGAACCAAAAGGAATCCCACTATACCTTGTGCAAGAATGAGCTATGTTCTTGCTGAAGGAGAGGACAGGAGTTTGAGATGGTCCCTTGGGGGAAAGATGAAAGAAATAACCATACCCAGCAGCACAAACCATGTTACCCTGCAGAGAAATATAAAAATACATTGATATCAGACAAGTTACCCCAAGAGTCCTGGAAATTCAAAACTTATTTTGAAGTCACTTTGAGCCAGCCCTCTGTTCCTAATCCCTCGGCTCATGTAAGACTCTTAGTGAAGTCAATGCATATTTGGTCAAACTTGGTCTCCCTCACTCGCTCCTGTTTCCTTTTTCACCCCAGACTGCTCCCAAGAACAACAGCAGAAGTCAGCACTGCACGTTCAGACCAGGCCATAGTGTCTAGAAAAATAGCAAGCGTGTATGGAAGCACATCGCGATCTGCAACACACAGGTGATAAAAATCCAAGGTGACTAATTTTTTTATCCACTGAACTTCACTATGTAACTAAGCTGCCTGGTTAAAGATCAATTGTTGAATACCTAAAGTACTTACCAGTTTCATTCTTGATATAAATATATATTTTCTATACAAAAAAGGAATCCCACTATACCATGTGAAATCCAATTGCATTCTTCTATCCAAAAAAAAAAAAAAAATCATGTTAACACAGTGTTGGAGTAAAGAAAATGATCCCTCAAATTCAGAGTGAACAGCTTCATAAAAGGCTGGAAACTGCAAGTGGATAAATTCAGGCTTGAGATAACATGTATGAGCAAGCCTCCATGCAGAAGTTGCTGAGTGGTGTTCTTCTGATGTTATTAAAATATGAGGTTAAATTAGCTTATCGCATTAGACTCTTCCGCTGTAAAGCCCATAAATTCACTACTTGCAGAGGAAGTGGATAAGCAATAAGATGCAGACCCTCTGAAGCCTCCGGGTGAAATCCCGCCATGCTCAAACCCATCAGACTTTGGTCACTGATTTTATGGGGCCGGGACTTTACGTGTTAACCACTGTCCAGACCTGGCCCACGTGGGCAGCGACCAACCATAGATGTTGCTTGGTAGCAATTGTAGTGGTGCTTTTTAAGTGGATATTTATTGACCAGGATCTGGACTGAGGCCCACCACGTTCCTTAGCATGAATCGTGAGTTAGCTTTTGAACAGTAATGAGTTTTGGTCCCTAATGATCTAAGTCAAAACCAAGCAGTGACCTAGAGGTGAAAGCCTCCATATTCCAACTCCTTTCTCCCGACCCGTCCAAGCGAGTTCCCTGCAGTCATGATCTTTGACACCTGTCAAGAAGCAAAAGTGCATCAATGCTTTGCCTTCTCTCAAGCATTGCCTTCTCTCTCTCCTTGCAGAGCCGCTGCTCTTTCGAGTGCGCCAACGCCAATCTCCTTCCTTTAACAAAATGCTTCTGCAGTCAGGTCACATTATGCTCAGGATCTTTTACTTGCGATTCCAATTGTGTATTCTGAGGATGATTCATAAGAAAAAAAAATGCTGCAGATTTTTTTTCAGGCAGCCAGTGGCTTAAGGGCAGGGGTTTTAGGCAAGTGGGGAATTTTGTGTGAAAATCAATTCTTTGTGGAAGTCAATGTATTACCAATGTCCACACAGCCACAAGCCCAAAGAGAAATTGCCTGCCCGTGTGTGCCAGACACCTGGAGAAGAATATCTAAAGTCAGTAAAATAAGGCCAGCTGACGTTTCAAGTGTCTCTTAACTGTGCAATAGAGACAATATCAATATTTCATGAATGCCATTAGATGAACAATGCTAGGCCTTTAAGCCTCTGCTTGCTTTTCTCTTCTCACACACCGTAAAGCACAGGACTATTCCCCAACTTTTGGACCCTGCCAGAGTGGGGCACATATTCCCAATGGGTCTGTGGTCAGCGAGCATTTGCATTGCAGCCGGTTTCATCAAATGTCACGGCAGGAGAACAAAGCAGAAAATGATCAGATCCAAATAGCTTCCTGTCCTCTGTTTCATATTTGAGGGAGTGGCTAGTTGGATGATGTTGGGAAGGGGTTGTAGAAGATTTTTTTTAGCAAGGAAACATCAGTCATTGCTTTGACAGAGCTTTGCAGTTTTGGGTCTCTATACTGGTCTGATGGAGAAGTGCCCATCTAAACACTAATGAACACCCCTCTCTGAAGCCTTGGTTAGAAGTCAGGACTCAGTTTGTGTAGAGACTAGACCACCTTCTCATGCTAAATGGTGCTTCCTTTATTGCCTGAAGCACATCAGAGAACTATTTATTTGAAGCACAAACAGAGGCTTTCCCGTGCCCCAGGCTTTCAGTGCACTAGGAACTCAGAGAAGTTTGGAGCTGATTGCACCAGGCACCAATGCAAAAATCTCAAAATCCCATTAAAACAACTAGCACTAGGAACTCAGAGAACCATGGAGCCGATTCCTCTCACCAAGGTTTAAAATGACGTGAACAGAAAATCAGTCCTTATATATCCTGAAATGGGTGGTGGTGGCTGAGCTCTGTCTCCCTTCATGTGGACACAGGTCTGAAGGTGAATAAATGGAAACATTATTTGATGGAGAAACTGATTTGGACCTGGATGAGGAAGAAGCCAGCGCTCTGCTGAAATCATCCTACAACCCTGTGAAAATATCGTGATCATGATTTCTTCTGTCTTGGAGAAGAGTTTCAACCCCAATGCCTGGCTACTGAGCCATGGCCTCCAATCAGTCATATCCACAAAGACATTGAAATGCTTATTATAAAGACCAAGCCTTTATGAACACATTAGATGAACCAAAAAAAAAAAAGGTAGCTTCACCAGTTCATAAATGAAACAAGGATTTTAAAAATAGAGCCATCAGCACAGCACAGGTAGCCTAGCTCCCCTTACTGCATGAGCAGCTCCCTGCCCCCAACTCTGTCTCCTGGCTGGGCACCCCATGCACCCCACCCCCCAAATCTGCCATGGAGCCCCTGCCACATGCCCAGCATGGGCATCCTGGAGCCTCCTCCCTCTGCACAGCTCCAACCCCAGGAGTGGGAGCTGGAAGCAGACGATGAAGGAGTAATGGGAGCCTGGAGACCCTGGCTGCCCCTTCAGCAGCAGCAGGGGAGGAAGCAGTAGCTGGGGGGCATCCATGGACCATATGTTAACCCCTCACAAGCTGGATGCAGCCCATGGGTCACTACTTGAACAGCTCTGGTGTAGGTCTTGATGTTTAAAGGCCCTGGGATGCATGCTACTCTACCTAATTTTCTTGTTAGTTTAGATGCCCCCAGCTTTCTCTTACAATGGTTTGTAAATTGGGTGGATGCAAAAAAACGTGTCTTATTCTCAAGCAAAGTTGCCTTGAAGGTAACCTAACCTAACCTAACCTAACTTTGCATCATTAAGCTTATCTACAACTCTCCGAGGAAGACAAGGCAAGGGAGAAATTGTTGTTGTGGACAGTTGATTGGTTCAGTTCCTATGGGTTGGCAATAAGGCCGGTCAGGAAGTTTCAGTGATAAAGCTGATTTGAGAGAGAGTGAAGCTTTTTGGGAGAGAGGTAAACTTGAAATTAACTTTCCAAAAAAAGGGTGAAAGAAAGGTTTGAAAGTATTCAAACGTCACATTTTGATATCTTTTAAGTAAAATCTTGGAGGGTTTTTTGTTCAAATAAATTATTTACAATATCAAAATTTAGTTGATGGTTTTACCAAAATTGGAGGTTTTATCAACATCAAAATGGAAACAAAGCATTTAAAAATACAGAAAGAAAAGTTGTTGATTGACCTGAATCAATATTTTTCTATTTTGATGTTTTATGAAAAATTTTGAGGTTTCAATTTTTCATCACATTTTGGAATGAGTTGTTTTTTGGGGGTTTTTTAAAGCTCAAAGATTTGTGTTGGATGGAGAACCTCATCCTTTCCAGCCCTGCTTTACAGTCCCTGAGGTATTCTTAGGTCTCATAACTATGTGGAACTGGATTGAAACTGCCTTATCTCACTTGGTTTGTCATCCAGACTATCTTATATCTTGAGTTTGATATAAATGATAAAACTAGACAGGAATGGATTAAACATGCATCTTGGGATTTTTTCACCCCCAATATTTTATGAGTCTTTTGATGAGCCCAAGATGATTTCTGATTTTTTTAATGAAACAAAAAAACTTGGAAAGAGTTAAGAGGATTGGAATTTTCTTGCAAACACACCTCCCCATGCTGAAAAGTGACGTTTCTAATAAAAATAAATATGCATGATATCAAAATTTACTAAAGCCAATAACATTCTGCATTTTGTCACCTTAGGAAGCTAATCTTCCCGCTCTTTATGGGGTTTTTTTGGATAGAGAGCTATTTTGTTTTACCTCTATCTGATTAGCAGGAGCCTGGATATAGATCCCTGCTGGTGACACAGCTTCAAGGTTGGAAAGTCCATCAGTTCCAGATAGTCCGATCAGTATATTGTGCCTGATTTTGTTCCCCTGCTCCAACCATCCTCCTGAAAAGAACCACAGACAGAAACTCATCACCTACAGCTCCAAACCTTCACCTAGGTAGATCGTCTACTCCCCATGTTTTATTCCTGTCCATGCTGTTGTGCATGATGCTATGCACTGCCTGCTTCTGACTCCCCACCAGAGCGACGGTTGCATTTTCCAATGCTCTATATATTGCTTGAAAAGCTCTTGGGAACCCATATAGAGTAAAGGAAGAGAAGATGTGGGTGTACAGGATCATCTTAAAGTGTCAAGGGACTAAATACACAGTGTAAAGATTGTGATGGTGGTGCACAGTTCACATCTCAGCTAAGGTCACAGGGTAGGGCAGAGAATATTAGTATTCCTAAGTGTGGCACACATTTGGAGAGGTCTCGACCCAGGTCAGAGCACCATGGTGGCAGGTCTCTGAGTACATCCACATAAGAAAGCTATTCCATCCATGAAGAGCACAGACCAACCGCAGATGCTTCCTCAGCCTGATGAAGGACGGTTGTGCCTGAAAGCTTGCAAAGAAGAATTTTTCCAGCTATGTCAGTTGGTCTGATAAAAGATATTGGATTTACCCAAAGAACCTTGTCC